ATCTTCTCGTTGTAAGTTTATCGAAGATGAATGTTAATCTTTTCCTTCTGCGCGATTGCGATGACGGATCGTCGGCCTTAACTTGGCGGTATCAATCGCGGCAGATCTACTGAGTATTTCTTGGGATCGTTTATCGAGCCTCATGCCTCTGTATATCTCATTGTACATTCTCATCGACTTTTAGCCTCTGAATGGGACGATCCGTGTAGCTCTTTTGATATCGCGGCGATCGGCGTCGAGGACTGAAATCGATTGGCGAACGAACGAGCGAGTGAGCGAGCGTGCGAACGAGTTCTCGAATGCTGAAAGGAACGCAGGTGCGCCCAACAATCCTTAACAATTTTCCGGACGTTTCTTTCGGTCTTCGTAGATACCTTTAGACATAAGGCACTGGGTTGATTTCACCTACTATATAGGTGTCGAATAGAATAAATATAACGCCCGCCCTCCGCGCATTCACACACGTACACAAGACACACACATATCCCAGGTCGACGAGCGTCGGTACGAGTGTCCGTTTCAAAGTCTTACTATCTGAGAATGGTTCTCTGACAGTAAATCGTTTCGTGATTGATTCTTCATTCTTCGCGCGAACGCTGAAAATTAAACTTATGAAAGATAAACGCGATAAATTTAACGATTATACTTGACAGCTTTATTCTCTGAATATAATTTATTTTAGGTGTTTATTAAGACCGAAATGATGGAAAAAAATCACAGACTTAGTATGATCTTAAACGGATACCGGCGTAATCGACGACAATCGTTCTGGGAACCGCGGACTTTAGTTCCGCTAGGAAAGCTTCACTGACGGAGGGAGAGAGCGCTATAACGAATCAAAGTGACTGACAGAAGGGCGGTTTAAGAAGGAAGCTACGAAGCTATCCGGACAGTGTTAATTAGTCACCAATTATTGTCATTCTTTCTCTCGTGTCGACATTAAGAACGTATGAAGCGGGAGCAGGAGGTAGCGCAAATCGACTATATAACACGTTTCAATATAAACGAAAAAAAAAATAATGAAAAGGAAATATATCATCGTCTCTTAAGCATGCCAAGAGAGAGAAACGCCAGCTACGTTTGTCATTCAATAATCTTGCGCTTTGTTTTTTCTATGAATCGGTGCGTGACGATCTTATTCCTTGTTAGATCGAGGTGAAGTAAGAGAAACAGAAGAAAAAAGCTGCTATCTATCTATATATATATATATAAGATTTAAGAGAGCTCACAAAAAACACACACACAATGTTATTATAAACGATTAATTAATAAAAAAACGAATCTTGTTTGTTGTTACTTCTGGTATACCTCGTTATGGACCACCGCACCGATTTATCGTATCGCTAATTGGTTCGTCTTTGGGTTTTTAAGCCACGTTTTTTTTTTTTCATTTTAGATATCATTGCAAGTCTGAGTATGGACGGGAGAGTAATTGATTCAGTCGGAAACCAGAATGCTCAATCTTTATTTAATATGTCGTAATGGAGTATGAATACATAATATATATCAAATTGATATATAGCTGTCACGTCGGAGAGTATTGTGGAACTAAAAGTATTTTGCGTGACGATAAAACAATCTCCTCAGGTTGACGACATAATCTACGTGTCTTCCTCCCAGACGGTCTCCGTGAGTATGGCGATATTGTCCAGGCCACGCATCGGTGCGTACTCGAGCGTCCACATCACATTTGTGAAAACGACTGCAGCAATATTATGAATAATTTATCAACGAGAAAATATCGTCGCGTACGATATTGTAAAATTACGCGTGAGTTTGACATACGGATCTGAGATCATAAAACCTTAATAGCATTCAGGAGGTCGTCGCTAATTTTATCTCATCCGATTTTATAGATAGGTCTTCAATAAATAAATATTTTCGATTCTCAAGAGGCATGTAAAATTAAAAATGTTTGGTATTTCAAATTGAATTTCTATCAAAGCGAGGAAAAATTGTACAGCATGCATCACAGATGAAATACAAGTTCAGAAATATCGATTTCTCTCAACAATGGTTGACAATATACTCAGACAATACTAAAAGTTTGTGTGTGTGTGTGTGTGTGTGTGTGTGTGTGTGTGCGCGCGCGCGTGCGTGTGTGCGTGTGTGTGTGTGTGTGTGCGTGTGTGTGTGTGTGTGTGTGTGTATGCTGATCCTCATTTTGCGAGATTAATTATTCGATAAATGGATAATTAATATAATAAGCGAGTTTGAAATTGGAAATTTGATTCATTACAGCCCAATCCTCCGTTCGCCCACCGTTATTATGCCACAATTTTATCAGAAGTATGGAACACCTTTTAATCAGCACGTAGAATTAAAAGGCAAATTTTGTAATTACATTATTATACATATAAATAATTCAACAATTATACAACTCACTAGAAGTTTAGTGTGGCCTTTTCAGAACGCCAGCCACTCCGGTTTATCGCGAGCTGTTAAAGGTGCTCCGTACTTCAGTCCAATTTCAGTCGCAGCACTTACGCATCTCGCCCTGATGCAGATCGGCGATCAGCTCAGGGCACGAACTGTTGCAGGGATTTATAGGAGTGAGACGCAGTTGAGTCGCGCCACGAAGTTGAGCGAGAGCGATTAAACCAGAGTCGAGCTCGACTTTCTTGTAACTCGGACTATTGTAGTCCGAAGACATGAGCACCCAGTTGAAATGCGCCGGCGAGACTGTGCTGGAGAGGAAGTACGGTCGTTGATAGTACTTTCTGAGTACCTTCACAGCGTTGATGTCACAGTTCTGCCAATGGACAAACCACTTAGCCACCTCGGGGGCGTGCACGCGTCGAAGAAATGCCGCAAGATCGGACGAACCAGTACGCAGATTCGAGGTCAGGGCGCATGGTACCGTCTCCATCAGCCGCTCGTTCTCCAAGTAGAGCTGTTTGCGTCGAAAAATAATGTTTCTTCATGGAATCGTCTTTTGCAAATATTACACTGATTGTTTGCTATGGCAAAGAATCTTTTGTCTTCGAAGAGACAATTCAATTTCGATAAGTGAAAGTTATCTACATTTTTTTCTTCAATTTGATTCCTGAAGAAGTTAAGCATTTATAGTAATAAGGCAACAAAATTCATTTATTACTCACATGGGTGATATTATCAAACCAGAAGTAATCGGTATTCATGACTGCCCATGAATCCATTGCGTCGGTGATGATGGCTGGTGCGTCACGATTCAGATAATTATCAACCAGATTACGATACCGAACGTCCGATAGACGATCAATCGTCTCCAACGCCTCGCAGGTCTGCAAGAAGTTCTCTGACAATTATTCAAGCGTGGATTTTAGGTATCTTAGATATATTTCTTCTTAAAATATTTTACATCTCAAAAACCGCAATAGAATCTCTTTCCCAAACGTAAACATTGATTTTTCTTATTCTGAAAATACGAAGCGTACCACGCAATCCTCTTCCGTAATAGTGTAATCATTGTAAAAGGGGTTGTTAATCATGCAGTTTTCATAATAGAGTGGCTGCCAGTTCCAGATCGGCAAAACTTTTATCAGCAGCAGACGGCTGAGGGCGGTGAAATGAGTACCAACGAAGTCCAACTGAGCTGCAAGACACGCCAGTGTACCCAGTACTATCAGCACCAGGGTGCCACGACAGACGAGTTGTAACCATGAGCGACGCATCGCTGCTACGAGCGGCTGGCATATAATGTCCATTTCCTCTTCAGTGAAACCCGCCTGTTGGCAGTACCTATGAAAAAATTTTGGATACAATAATAATAATAAAGAAAAAAGATCTCCATCGTGCATAATTATAGAAATAATTTTTTTCCATAAATCTGCTTTTTACAAAAATGATTATAATAATGATTTGGAAAAATATCTCTACTTGTTTATATATAATTTTGAAATTATCGTTACTGATACAAATTTTTTTATTTCTTTTTATTTAGGTGATAAGAGCGCAATGAAAGTATAAAACAAAAATCTAATACGACTTCACGAATAATTCCACGCATATCAAAAGTGATTCGTTACTTGTAAAAGGAATTCAGCTCATCATCAATTAGCCTTAGCTTCTCGGAGTGCGTCATCTCATGCTGTTCCTTGGTGTACGCCTTACGCGGCTGTTTCACGCACTTGCTGCTTGACATCGTGACAGACTCTTTTGTTGTTTCACCGACGTGCAAGAATAATATCACTCTTCTCTTGCAGAAACGCAATACTTCAGGATCCGCGGCAGGATAGGAACGGGCTCGTCGCTATCGAACCGCAACCGTGCATGCGCGCGTTTATCTGCCTACACGATATATTGATCGGCACCGTCGGCGCATGGACGGCGCGAAAACCGAGATAGATTTTCGGAATTTTTTACCGAATCTTTATCTTTTGATAAACGACGGATTTAGGCAGTTTTTTATGTAAAATCGATCTGAAGCTACATTTTTATAAAATACGAAAGGAAATGTCAGTAGAAAATTTATATAAAATCTAATTGATTTTAAGGTATTATTATTTTATTATAGAGTTTGAGACAATTAAATGATTATTTTTATCATCGTATAATTTTAGACTTTATTTAAGAAAGTCTTTCTTTCATATTAAAATATTCGATTGTATAGAATAATAGGTCAATTAAAATGTATTTCGAATGTATTGGATAAATGTATTTTTTTAATTATATAATATATTATTATATTTTCAGATTTGATTGAACGATCCTAATGATATTGTTTGCTCATTCAAGATCTCAAAAATTTCTCGGTACACATCACTGCCTTCGATACTCTAAATTTATTTCTGTACGTCAACCTTATCGGCTGGCGATAGGTAGATTCCATAACGATCTGCGACTGGTCTATACGATCTGTAACTGGCTTGTCATAACATGAACAATAGCACAGTAGTGAACAGATAGGAACATATAGAAACTCTGCTACATAATTATAATAATCTGCAATTAAAAATATTATTATAATATTAATTTTAAATATTATATTATAATAATTATATACGCATATAAATTATCACAGATAAATATACATGAATATATCGAACCGTGCAATTGTTTGTGTTGTCTCGGATCAAAGTCCGAAGATTTGATTTATAATAATTCCATAAGTCGAACGTCAACAGTACGAAAAACAATGGCAATGCAATGCTTGAGATTATTTGGTGAGTATCAAGTATTTTCTAATATTACGGAGAATAAAGATTATTATTTTAAATATTGATTACAGCAAATAATGTGCCTAAAAGTGCATGCACTATCAATGTCAATCGACACATTACCTCGTATTCTATGCTGCCAGATACACATAAAATGTTATATCAAACATGCAGGTATTTTATAATATTGTGTAGGCAATAAAAATTACACCTCTATCTACTTTGCGTAGATATAATTAAATACTAAATAAAGTTTATCATCGCTATTAAAAATTTGTAATTGCAGAGATTTCGCCGAGGAGGAATTAAAACCTATCGCAGCAGAGACTGATAAAAAACATCTTTTTCCAAAGGAGCAGATCAAGAAGATGGGCGAGCTGGGTCTCATGGGTTTATGCATCCCTGAAGCATTAGATGGAACAGGACTAGATTACCTGGCCTATAGTATAGCTATGGAAGAAATCTCAAGAGGTTGTGCAAGTGCTGGAGTTATAATGAGTGTACAAAATTCCCTCTACTTAGGCCCTATAGACGCATTCGGGACTGATAAGCAGAAAGAAAAATACATCGTTCCCTATATAAGTGGTGAGAAAATTGGCTGTTTTGCTCTCAGTGAACCAGGTAATGGATCTGATGCTGGTGCGGCGTCTACTACTGCCAAAGCGGACGGCAGCATCTATACAATTAACGGCACCAAGTCGTGGATAACAAATGCGTTCGAAGCCAGTGCGATAATTCTCTTTGCGACGACTGACAAGTCCAAGAAGCACAAAGGTATAAGCGCTATCGTAATGGACAGTCCGACAGCAGGCCTGAGTCTGGGTAAGAAAGAGGACAAATTAGGTATACGAGGTAGCAGCACTTGTTCCTTAATCTTCGAGGACTGTCAAGTGCCACAAGATAACATTTTAGGCAAACCAGGAATGGGCTTTAAAATCGCAATGATGACTCTAGGTATGTGACAATCATTACGTGGATTTTTACAAGTAATTATTATTCAAATATAACGTAATATTCTCTCTGTAGATGCCGGCAGAATAGGAATCGCTGCACAAGCGTTGGGTATAGCTCAAGCATCTTTGGATTGCGCGATGGATTACGCATCCAAACGCCAAGCCTTTGGTCAGTCGATCATCAAGCTGCAAGCGATTCAACAAAAAATCGCTGATATGGCTCTAAAATTGGAAAGTTCAAGACTGTTGACGTGGCGAGCGGCTCAGCTTAAGGATAATGGTAAACCATACACAAAGGTGCATAATATTTGGAGATAAATATTAATTCATTTTAGTAAAATATTCACTTTGGATAATACGGCCGAATTTTCTCTGGATTCTTATCTCTTATCTCATATAATATTTAAAATTTTAATCTTATTCCATATATATTTTTCTATTGATTACATTTTATGTATCTTATCGGACAAGGTAAACGCGCTTCTATGAATGCATAGAAAAAAATTTTTAAGTAGTCACGATAACATAAGCTTTAATCGATTTAATTATCAACAGATCAAAGCAATAAAATCAAACGAGAAAAATATAAGGTAATTTTCACAGGGAATGAACAGATCTCTCGAGTATAAGATCTCAAGTAGAAGATCTAAATGAGTGCCAGTTTGCAGATGTAAAAATTTATATCGATATCTGGTTTTTGCCAAACTCTTATGTCTATCTGTTTTACATTCTCCTTAATTATAAACCAAGAAAAATCCGAAATTAATATCACGTTACAAATAAATTTTTGCACGTCTGCGATCTAGCTCTCTCGTTGATTCTTGATCTATTGTCAAAATAATTTCTTATTTGCTAGGAAGCCGCTATGGCCAAATTGTCAGCATCGGAAACCGCCACATTCTGCGCTCATCAGTGTTTACAGATTCTGGGAGGGATGGGATACGTATCGGATATGCCGGCGGAACGTCATTACAGGGACGCGCGTATCACGGAAATCTATGAAGGCACATCGGAGATCCAGAGACTTGTGATCGCCGCAAATCTCATCAAAGAGTATGGCCTCAATTGAGATCGCACGACTCACTCACGTAAGATAATTCTTCAGTATTTTTCTTTTATATGTATATCCAAAGAGAGAACAAAATATATTTTGTACATATTGCATCTAATATTAGATTTTGTATATATATATATATATATAAGTCGAAATAAATTTCATATACTATGCCTTCTAAGTTTATTAACTCTTGGCTAAATATTTGACTGGATCGAGAGACATACGCACATACGCGCACACACATACACATACACTTACGCATATACGTATGTATGCAAGAAAATAAAACACATATACACGTGCATATATACATATATACACATACACTGGTATTTCACTATTAGCCCTTTGGCAGCGATACGGAATTTTTTCCTTTCCTCTTTTTTTTCTATCCACGATTTTTTTTCTATCCTTGTACATCTAGAGCAACTAGAGCCAATCTATTTAAATAACTATTATCATAGGATAACAAGTATAATGTGAACCGCGTACATGTGTGAAACTCTCATATTTAACAAAACGAACGACATAGTCGTGGAACAAAGGCGGACTCCATTAAAGTTACGAGCTTGTTTGAACGACACAGATGTGCCTTATTTCGATCGGTTTTTCCTCGTCGATAAAATGGTGAATAAATACGTGCTCATGTTTCTCTGTTTTCTCGTATGTGTCAGATACATTGAGTACAAATACTATGTGCACTGTCGCGACTACCACTGTTCGTACATAAATACGAAGATAAAAGCTACCTTAGACTACATGCCTTCCAACGAGAAAATACAGAGAATACATTTACTTTGTGCAAATGACAGTTAAATTATATACTTCTCGTTACTGTTTTTCAATCTTTAATCGTATATTTAATTATAGATCCTATCACTAGGTGAGAATGCTGCTGCAAGTCCAACCCATTAAAAGACTACTTTACTCTCATTTCATTCTAAGAATCAATTCAGTGAAAATAAATGTAATCATTTCCAAAATAAACTTTAAAATATCTCATATATCGAACTTTGTTTTTGTTATGAATGAGTAGTTACAAAATTATATTTTTTTTTGTTACAATATTTTTTCTCACATAATATACTGGAAAAAAAATTTAAGGATGATCATAATAGTCTGTAACAGGTTACGAGCAGCGTTCCAAAATACTTTGTCGGTTGTACTAAGAGATCCATTGGAATGCAAAAGAAACATTTATATATATATAATTTGAATTTCATTGTGTATGCCTCTTTCTTTTTATATATATATACAATAACGCACTCTTTCGCCGTTCACCCGCTGTCACAAATATTGAAATAGCCTAAACTCTGTTTCTCTACATATGTGTGTATATGTATATCGGTGTGAGCTTTACATAGAATACATCATCTCCTCGTCCTCAGTAAACAATTTAGAGTGTAATATATAACATTATTATTAGCATCGCAGTATAATTAAAAAATCCATCAGTTTGGTCCTAACTCTTTAGAGAATAGGTACATACACGTCTCGCTGATAACAAACGTAATGAAAGAATAGAGGAACATCATAGATTGAGATCTACAGTAGTACCTTGCCTCGTGGAATCGTAGAGGGATCCCATGAAATAACTACAGATATACATTTAAAATATTTAGAACTTTTCAAATCGATCACATATACACTTTTGTAGAATTGAGAAAATACTCTCGAGCTTTCTTTCGAAAATACACAATCTAGTACAGCACACTTTCGGTTGAAATAATAGTTCGAGATACAGATCATTAATATGCAACATTTAGATTTTCAATTGTACATTAATATATTAAACTGTGGAATTTTTTAACTATTAAACTACGATCAAACTTGCGATGTTAAATCACATTATTTCCTTTGTTTTTTTTTCTTTATGTATTTTGCAGCAAGCATTTTGTCGATCATTAATTGAACTCCAATATCTATTATTATCGAACTACGAACTGCTGTTAAGTAATCATAACGTTTTTATCTATGATGGTTTTCAAGAAACCCCAGATTCTTTTCATAATTATGCATTAAACAAGAGAACCAGAAGATTCTGATTCCTTCCATTTCTTTTTCTTTTATAATAATAACTACATTATAATCTTTGACTGTAGATACATTTATCTAAAACGCTTGTAAATGTAAAATAAATTAAAATTGTAAGTAATTTATAATAGACACTGAATCTAGACACGTAAATTCCAGAAATCGTCCGAATCCTGTGGAATCGTCTATGACAGAGCGTAACAGGGTGTACATCTGTAGGTATGCGTCTGTATTTGTGTTGACATGTATAAGGAAATTGATTTAACCGTTCATAATAGAAGCTATCGAAGCCTCAATCATCAGCTCGCATACCCCGTACTTCACCTTGATGTCTTTGCTGCAATTGAACATACAAAAAACATTTCAAATGGATGAAATTTCTTATAAAACAAATATAGAAGACGTAAAACAAGATAATCGATTTAATTAACCTTCCAGCGAATGTATCAGTATATAGAGAAAACAACCGCAGAATAAGACTGAAAGTTCGAAAAATTAAAGCATATCGTCAAATAAACATTATGCGAAAGTTTATAATATTTAAACGATCATTTATTTTAAAAAATAAGTGTTTTATCAGAAAATGGATTAATGAAAAAAAGTCTTATTCATATTATAATTAGTCGTATTATAATTATTGAAAATAATAATTGTCGTCGAATGTTTTTTTAAAGTAAAATGAAAACATTTGTTGCATTTGAGGATGGTGATTGTATTTGTGCATAACTTGTACTTCTCTCACTTTTCATTCCCATTGAACGATTCCTGTGTATATCTTATAGGAACAAATTTGTCCTGAAAAAAAGCCCTGATATCTTAAAAATCAATTTTACGTAAACAACATATGTTAATGGAACGACCTGAGCGAATCGACGGCCCGAAAGATACTGAAGGAATATTTGAGAAATTGAGACTCAAAAAATAGATTTTACCTGTATTCCCTCCATAAGAACGGCACGGAGAACACGCGCACGCTCGCTGGAAGGTTAAAACTGAAGAAGTAAAAAAAAGCAAAATTCTTCTTACCCTGTCTAATTCTTCTTTCGTATTGTCTTCGATTGCTCTAATATCCTCCATGGTTAAACCATACCAACCATCTATCCAGCAGAACACTTGCCTATGGAAATTGGTAAACAGGCGCCGTTCCGCCTTTTGAATGAATCCTTCGATGCGGGTCTGCAGACCGAACCATTTGAATTCACAAGTGACTAGCTTGTAGCATGTCATCACAGGTTGAACATTATGCTTCCAATCCTTCCCAACAAGAGGGCCCCGTCCTGTCTTCTGGGACTTGAATTTAGATGGATCCTCGTCCACTTTGTAATCGGCACTTGCAATCGGATCGTTGGCAATATCTATATGCACTACTTCTCTGATCTTAAGCTTATCGGGCGGCAATTCGTGAACCTGTTCATAAGAAGAAAACACATAAATAACTAAAAATACTTGTCAAATTCGATAATACTTACATTATGCTGATTACCGACGTCGCCAATATGAAAGGACTCTATCATAATCACGAAATTATCCTTCATATACCCTGGATTCTATGGAAAAATCAAAATAATGTTTATGAATATATTTAAACTTAATATCTTGTATATGTGAATAAATATATGCACAACACTTACAGTTATGACTGTCTTACAATAGGGATAAGCGTTCCAAGCCTCTTCATGGATTTCTAGCGAGTTCTTTGGCAGTAAAATGCGAATAAAAGCAGGCACTTTACTAGCTAAATGATAAATCTTATATGTATATTGGCCTGATGAGTACTTTCCACCGAGTAACGGATAATCCGTAAACGGCTCATTCTTCAATACTTCAATGCCTTCTCCACCGCCTGTATTATTTTTACTAGCCTCTGCTACAGAATACAGTTGAGCTACTTGATACTGTTAAGGAGAAAAAAAAAATATATATATATATATATATATATATAAATTCTTGATAATGTTCAAGGTAGATTAAAGTCATTATATAGTTTATATCATGAGATATAATTTATATATGTACTTTGACTTATTTTTGTGAGAACCATTCATTTATTAATTCTTTTGGTTTGAGTTTCTTTTCATTCATTAACACAAAAGGAAAAAAGAAAAAAAGGATTTAAAGTCCATTGCGAATCTATTTCTAGAATTAGTACTTGAAATAAAATGATAATCATACTTATTATTAAGATATATCTCTCTTAGACATCACTTTATTATATACTCTGAAGCAAATAGATAATGAATAGAAAAATAGAAACAATAGTTTAAACAGTAACAGATAATAATAAAGTAATAGATAATAATAAAAAAACTTGTGTTTGTGTGATAAAATAGGTTTCTAATTACAAATTCAGCATTGTTTATGCAAGATAACTCTACATAAGTACTCAGATAGGCACATGTGCCATGCGGAGAATAATTAGATGATTGGCGAATTTTCTTGATTGCACGGCAATGCTAAGATTAATTTCAACTGTCTGTTTTTGCAATCTAACATCCAGGCAGGTCTCAAACTGAGTCATTACGAGGAGCGGGACTCCTGTGACAGATCAGACACGTACCTCTTCCACTGTGAGGGGCAGAGTGACACGGCTGTAACAAAAAAATAATGAAATTATGTCAGCGTTATATCGAAAGGCAAGGAGACGAAGAAAATTAACGGATAACGTAATCGTGTCCTTGAGTCACAGGATGGAGAGGGGACGCGTTGCCACAAGATGCACATATCACCCGGCCGATATTAATTACATGAGAAATCAAAGCTGATCAATAAATTTGTGAAATTTATGACCAAACGATCCGCATTGTACGCGGTCGTTGCCGAGGAAGTCTAAGGTCAATTGAGATTTTTTGCAAAACTGCACTTTTATCGCACTTCCCGCTGCTGATCAGAAATCATCGTATACTTGAAGCTTCGGTGAGAGAAAGAGAAAGAGAAAGAAAGAGAGAGAGAGAGAGAGAGAGAGAGAGAGAGAGAGAGAGAGAGAGAAGTGCAGAAAGTGCAACCTCTAGAATCATGCGGGATGATTCATAAGGGATGAAAAGGGCCACCATCCCTCTCGCTCTATCTCTTTTTCTTCAACTCTCTTTTCCTTCTTTTTCCAGCCACGTTAAAGATCACCAGTCATCGTGACCCATGTCGATCGGTTTTAAATTTCGCTGCGTTGGCCATGGCGAGGAACGAATTTCGGAAATCCGTGCCGCGCGGCGCGCACCTGCAGCCCCCGCTCCATACGATCCCCGTTATCATCGCTGTTGCCATCCTTTTCCTCCCCCTCTCCGTCCTGCGCTGCACTTACAATTCCTTGATGAGCATTTTAGTCAGCAGAGCACATGGACCAGTAGTGTTCAATCAACAGACTCGCCACCGACGACGATGAGATGGAGCAGCAAGACCCACTGACGATACCGCACCCTCTGCTCCTCGTCGGCTACCGATCTGATTCACGGCTTGCGCTATCGGCTCACTATCGGCTTGCCGCCGCCGTCGCAATGTCATACACCCGCAACGTCTACCGAGCAACGCCGACAGGACTCACCAACCGACTGACACACTCCGGGCCAGACCGCTCCGGCCGCTCCACGGTCCACACCACCAGCAGCAGCAGCAGCAGCACCGCACACCAGCATGCACCAGCAACTAACCGCACCGCCACGACCGCGCCAATGGAGTCACACACACTTGCGCGTGCTCGCGCCCGCGCACACGTGTACGATTCCGCGCACCCCTCCTCTTCTCAATCCCCGCTTCGCGGGTCACTCCTCGGCTTACCTCGGCCGTCCTCGGTCACCGCCGCCATCGCCGATGACCATCCAATATCTTCTCCCCAACCCTGCTCTTCCGTACGAACTTTGCCGCTGACGTCATTGCGTGAGAAGTTAGGCGCGCATGCGCGCACCGCCGGTTACGTGTATTGCCTTTTGGAGAATATAAATTTTGAGAACGAATTCAAGAAAATGTGATGCTTATAATTTATAATT